TTATGTCCTTTATGTTTATTTCATTTTATGTGTATGTGTGTACTGAGTATACTGGCAGAATTAAAACAACCATTAAAGAACTAGGAGAAGCTGGGTCTGGTGGTTCATGTCTTCTAGAGGCTGAGGCAGGAGGACTACAATTTCAAACTAGCTTGGGCTACATAGCGAGACTTGTCTCAAAATGACTACTCTCCTCTTCTTCCTCCTCCTCCTCCTACTAATAATAACAATAATAAGAACTGCCAAGCAATGGTGACATATGCCTTTAATTCCAACACTTGGGAGGCAGAGGCAGGTGGATCTCTAAGTTCAAGCCCAGCCTGGTCTACAGAGTGAGTCCAGGACCAGCCAGAGCTGTTTGTTACACAGAGAAACCCTGTGTGCATGGGGTGGGGGTGGGGGTACAACACATGATGGGACTAAGAGAAACTCCGACTTTCTACAATAGTAATTCAGAGACAAGCAAGACAGGCACTGGAGGTGTTTGTAGACCTGGGAATAGAGCAAACCTACAAAAACAGGCAACAAGGAAGACCTTGAAAGTCTGACAAGGATAGGAAAGTATAGAATCTGGGAGCTCTGGGGTATAGCTCAGTAGTAGAGCATGTACCTCACATGCAGGAGGCCCTGGGTTAGATCCACAGCATCGTGGGAAAACAAGAAAATCTCTCTTTAGGGAGGATATATAAATTTATCTAATTACCTTCTTTGCAGCTGCTAAGAAAACTACTTCATTATGAAAACAATTCAAAAGAAACAGACCTGAAGGCACAGGTACCATGTTACAGTCTGTCCATCATGAAGCACACAGAGCCACCATCAGCTGTACCATTCATCAAACTATTCTACGAACACACAAAAATGGTTTTATGCTCAATAAAAGAAATATGAGAAAACAACAGCTCAAATTTGAGCATACAAATATGAGTATGATATGAGTATGATATGAGTCAGATATGGCAGCGTGGCTGGAGCCCATCAACCCTAAAGCTGAGGTTCATCCTGTGAGGTGTGTGTGTGTGTGTCTGTGTGTGTGTGTGCGTGTGTGTGAGTGTGTGTGTGTGTGTATGACAGAGCAAGGGGAAGGCCATCTTGGGACACATAACAAAATCCTGTCTTGAAAAATATAAGGTCGGCAGGCGGTGGTGGCGCACGCCTTTAATCCAATCCACTTGGGAGGCAGAGGCAGGCGGATCTCTGTGAGTTCGAGGCCAGCCTGGTCTACAGAGCTAGATCCAGGACAGGCTCCAAAGCCACAGAGAAACCCTGTCTCAAAAAAACAAAAAAAAAAAAAAAAAGAAAGAAAGAAAAATATAAGGTCTTCTACTCGTACAGGCAAAACCAGGATGCCTATTAACAGTAGAATTGCCAACACACTGAGGTATATTCAAACTGCAAGATTCTTAGCAGGCTCTGGGCATTTTTTTCTATAAAAAGGCCAGACATGAATATTTTAGACTTTGCCATCCAGCCTCTGTTCTAAGTGCCCAATTCTGCCCTTAGAGGGCAAAACTAGGGCAATGTATCACACTGACACCTGTCGTTCACATCATTTGCATGGGTCGCTGCAGAGTTTTTAAACATAAAAACATAGAAAAGCATCTCTTCAACCCTATTGTTGACTTTAAGAGATCTAAAAGGACTATTAAAGAATTGGAGGGATGATTCAGTGGTTAGGAGAACTTACTCTTCTTGATTTCTGCACCCACATGGCGGTTCACATCCATCTGCAACTTCAGTTCTAGGAGATCTGACACCCTCTCCTGGCTTCTAAGGGCACACATATGGCACATATACATACAGTCAGACAAAACATTCAAACATGTTGCCAGGAGTGATGGCGCAGGCCTTTAATCCCAGCAGAGACAGAGACAGAAGGATCTCTGTGAGTTTGAGGCCAACCTGGTCTACAGAGCAAGTTGAGTTCCAGAACAGCCAGAGCTAAACAGAGAAACACTGTCTTTGAAAACCAGGGGGAAAAAAAAAAACTACAGAATATATGAAAGATAGTCAAGCAAGGAGGGAAGGGAGAGTGGGAGGAGAGAGAAAGAGAGAGGGGGAGAGAAGGAAGAAAGAGAAAAGAGAAAGGGAGAGGGAGAAAAGAGAGAGAGAGAGGAGAGAGTGTGCATACCAAGTGTTGAAAAGAAGCTTCTTTCAACTAGGCCCCATATTATCAAGCATGCCCACCTCCTCTGACAGCCCATCAGACTGGGGTGCAAGCCTTTAGAACATGGACTTGAGTGATGTGGTGGTCTAAATGGGAATGGCCCCATAGGCTCACAAATTTCAATACTTGGTCATCAGGGAGTGGCGCTATCTGAAAGAATTAGGAGGTGTGACCATGTCAGAGGAAGTGAGTCACTGGGGTGGGCTCTGAGGTTTTACAAAAAGCCCATTTCAAATCCAAAGTCATCCTCTTCCTGCTGCCTGCGGATCCCAATGTAGACTCTGTTACTTCTCCAAAATTGCTTGGATTTTATTGTTGTCATTTTGGTGATGGTATTTTTTTTTTCTGTTCCAGAAAAAGTATCAGAGAGCACAGACTGTAGTCAAAGATGACCTGATCTCCCAATCCCCCTCTTCCACCACCCAGTCCTGACACTGCAGACATGTACAGACACTATGTCTGGCTATACAAAATTTTCTGCAATTTTTTTTAAATGAAAGAATTAGTTGGAACAATTGCTTTTTAGTTTTTAGATGTTTATTTCACGTGTATGAATGTTTGCCCGTGTGTGTGTATGTGTGCCATTTGGGGGATGCCAGAAGGACTCTGTTCCCCTAAAACTTCGGTTCAGATGATTGCGCACCATCTGAGTGCTGGGAATAAAAAATAGATCTTCCTGAAGAGCAACAAGAGTTTTTTTTTTCATTGTTTTGTTTAGTTTTGCTTTTTGTTTTTCAAGACAGGGTTTCTCTGTGTAGCCCTGACTGACCTGGAACTCACCCTGTAGACCAGGCTGGCCTGGAACTCACAGAGATCCACCTGTCTCAGCCTCTCAAGAGCTGGGATTAAAGCCATGCACTAACACCACTGCACTCCCCACTTTAAATAATAAAATTCTACTACATTAATTTATTAATCTGTATGTGGGCATGTACTTGTCACGTGCTTGTAAAGCCAGGCATTACCACCACCCCGCTCGAAATAAGAGCTCTCAACCAATGAGCCATCTCTACAGTCCCATTGAAACAAAATTTATTTTAAAAATCATTTCTAATTTCAAAATACAAAGCCAAATGTTTAGATTTCTTTTTGCACACAAAATTCTTAATGTTGAATAGCAAGCAAAAGCATTTTTCCAACTAGAACATTCCAGAAAAAGAAAACATTTAAGCATTATGTGTCTGGAGTCCTACAGCATATCAGCAAACCAATACTCCACTGCCACCTACAGTAGAAAAATGAAACTACAGCTTATAGCTAAAACCTAAAGGTGTGCCCTCTTCGATTTATAAATCCATATTTAGATCAGGACATTGTGTCACGCCGACCCTCAAAAGACAGATGCAAGCAAATCATTGCAAGTTCAAGGCCTGCCTGGACTTCCCAGTGAGTCCCAGGACATCTTGCTGTAAAGAAGGAAACCCACCGGGCTGGAGAGATGGCTCAGTGGTTAAGAGCATTGCCTGCTCTTCCAAAGGTCCTGAGTTCAATTCCCCACAACCATCTGTAATGAGGTCTGGTGCCCTCTTCTGCCCTGCAGGCATACAAGCAAACAGAATAATGTATACCTAATAAATAAATAAATATTAAAAAAAAAAAAGAAGAATGAAACCCACCAATGGTGGTGGCGCACACCTTTAATCCCAGCACTGGGGAGGCAGAGGCAGGCATATGTCTGAGTTCCAGGGCAGCCTGGTCTACAAAGGGAACTCTAGGACAGACAGAGCTGTTACACTGAGAAACACTGTCTCAATTTTAAAAAATGAACAAAAATAAATTTAAAAAATTAAAAAAGAGACCCTATCTCAAATAATTAACTTGCATATTTTATCGATGTTTTATTATATTATCCAAACCATACAGCAACAGTAAAGTCTACTGTAACAGGCCCCAGACCTTAGCACAACTGACTCCATGATGGAAGTGTCATTCAGGCTGTAAACTCAACATGTAGACAGCACCACCTGCCAAAAATGAAAACAAATAACTAATCCTTCCAAGTTCTTAGTTATGGGAAAGTCTCTAAATGTACTAACCTTGTTTTTTGGTTTCTGTAGAGTGGCTTCTGGCTGTTTTTGTCAACTAACGTATGTCAATCCAGGATATGGCTTTTGTGCTTCTGGGGACACCGTTAGGAATTTAGAATGCGAACCTTATGCGATGGCAGTCTGCATAGTAAAATACAACTTTTCCTATACTACAAGTATCTATCTTCTTGCTTCCAACACAGTGGCAGACAGATCTCTGTGAGTTTGAGAACAGCCTGGTCTACAGAACCAGAAAGAATTCCAAGACAGCCAGGGCTATACGGAAAAACTGTCATAAAAACTTAAACCCATGTTCGAGCAGTCTTCTCTGGTGACTATCCCAAGACACAACATTACACATTAAATGCAAACTGTTTTGCAAATAACAAAACGCATTCGATGCTAAAAAACCATTCTAGAAGGGAATCGGGCTGGAGAGAGGGCTAAGTTGCTAAAGCCCTTGCCAAACAAACATGAGACCTTCATTTCTATCAGCACACCCACATAAAGGAGTCCAGAGGGTGAGCTGCGGCACCCAGGCTCACGAACAGGAGGGAGCAACCCCCGGGGGGGGGGCGGAGACTCAACAAGCCGGAAGTAAACACAGGGAAGCGTGCCGCAGGGCTGCGCATTCCAATCCACCAGCCGGCCTATGACACCTGCGAGCATGCGCACAGACCTACTGGTGCACTGCGCTCACGGCTGTGACTCAGACAGCTCAATTCTCTAGTCTGGTGAGGAAAAAAAAAAGTCAGTTGAGCCTGACAGTGCCAGCTTGTATTCGCTGTTCAGAAAGGCAGCTTTAAAAAGCAGAACAATTTAGCAGTGGGTGAGATTTTTCAATCCACAGCGCGGGAAAAAGATAATTATCGCGAGATCTGGGAAGGGATCTGTGCTCTGTGGTAAGATGGCAACCCATGAGACTGTGTTTCCTGAAAAACTTGGCCATAAAAAATACAGGGCTGCCCTTAAGAAGGAGAAACGCAAGAAACGTAGGCAGGATATGGCTCGATTGAGGGACCTTGCAGCCCCCCCGGAGGAGGACGATGATGTTTCTGCTGATGACCAACTTACAGAGAGATTGGAGATGGAGCGACAGAAATTACATGAAGAGTGGCTGCTTAGGGAGGAGAAGGCACAAGAAGAATTCAGAATAAAGAAGGAAAAGGAAGAAGCTGCCAGAAAACAGAGGGAAGAACAGGAGAGACAGATAAAGTTGGAATGGGAAGAAAAACAGAAAAAACAGAGAGAAGAGGAGGAGCAGAAGCTACAAAAAAAGAGAGAAAGAGAGGAAGCGGTGCAGAAGATGCTGGACCAGGCTGAAAATGATGGCACTTGGCAGAACCCAGAACCACCCAAAGAATTAAGACTGGAGAAATACAGAGCGAGTTGTCCCTTCTACAGTAAAACGGGAGCGTGCCGATTCGGTAACAGGTGTTCACGGAAGCATGACTTCCCCACGTCAAGTCCCACGCTCCTGGTGAAGAGCATGTTTACGACCTTCGGAATGGAGCAGTGCAGAAGGGACGACTATGACTCGGACGCCAGCCTGGAGTACAGCGAAGAGGAGACCTACCAGCAGTTCCTGGACTTCTACTATGATGTGCTGCCCGAGTTCAAGAACGTGGGCAAAGTGATTCAGTTCAAGGTGAGCTGCAACTTGGAACCTCATCTGCGGGGCAATGTGTATGTTCAGTACCAGTCTGAAGAAGAATGCCAAGCAGCCCTCTCTCTCTTTAATGGAAGATGGTACGCAGGACGACAGCTCCAGTGTGAATTCTGCCCAGTGACCCGGTGGAAAATTGCAATCTGTGGTTTATTTGAAATGCAAAAGTGTCCCAAAGGAAAGCACTGCAACTTTCTCCATGTGTTCAGAAACCCCAACAATGAATTTCGAGAAGCTAACAGAGACCCCTACCTGTCTCCAGCTGGGGCTGGCTGCTCTGGTAAGACCTCCTCAGACAGGAGCGAGAGGAAGGACCACCATGAGGAATACTACAGCAAGCCAAGGGCCTCCTACTCTAGCCCACACCGCTCCTCCAAGAGAAGCAGGGAGTCGGAGAGGAAGAGTACTCACAGGAGGAAGAAATCTCACAAACAGGAAGCAAAGGGTCATGAGAGGCACAGTTCCAGAAGAGGAAGAGAAGAGGACAACACTCCAGGCCCACAAAGCCAGAGCCACAGGTCCTGAGCCAGGCTAAGACAGCATCACTTGGGCCCAAGAATCTGAGACCGACCAGTCAACCCCGGTATCCTTCAGACACCCCAAGACACTCAAAACAAAACTGATTACGAAGGAAAGGCATGGTGACTCAGTCTAATTCCCAGCCAAGTTACAAAGTCTTGTGGCTTTAACAGAGACAGAACCAGGTATTATTTATTAGTCTTTTGATGTTGTAATTCATGTTATTGATGTTATTTTCCGTACAGTTTAAACTAGCTTTTATATGTTGTTGAGTTTTTGTTATTGGTGTTATTTTCCATACAGTTTCATGTGTTGTTTTCTTGTGATAATTAAGATTATATTAAACTGTGATATTTTATTATACTTACTAATTTATTAACATTTTATATCCTATGAATATGAACAAAATTTCCAAATATAAATTACATCTATATTTTACTAACAAAGAGCACACAGGAGTACAGAAACCCTATGTGTTTTTGTAGACAGGCTCTCCCACTGTAGCCCTGGCTGGGCTGAAACTTGCTATGTAGACTAGACTGACCTTGAACTCACAGAGATCTGCCTTCCAAGTGCTAGGATGAAAGGCCTACACCTTTTTTCTTAGTTTTTTTTTTTTGAAGGGGTATGTGTCTGTCTGTCTGTCTGTCTGTCTGTGTGTACTCACATGAGTGCTTTAACCTCTGAGCCATCTCTCCAGCTCATAATGATGTTATTTTTTTTAATCAAAGATCTCAAATCTTAAGAACAAGTAATTGAAATTTTTAGTTATCTACCAAATAACCAACTTCTAAACATAATTTACACATGTCATTTCCAAACAGTGACACTGTGAATTTAAGAATAGATGTTTAAGGTAAGAGTTAGCATCTTTATGTAAATGTTCAGAAATACTTTAGGCTTTTAATATCAAATAATATTGTCACCAGGTGGTGGTGGCATATACCTTTTATCCCAGCACTTGGGAGGCAGAGATAGGTGAATGGATCTCAGTGAGTTCGAAGCCTGGTCTACCAAGCGAGTTCTAGGACAGCCAGGACTGTTACAGAGAGAAACCCTGTATGAGCCTGTTATGTTATAGCAAAACTTTATTTATCAAAACCAGAACAACGGGGAATGTACTGAGCTGCAGAGCACTTGCCTAGCATGCCCCTGGCAATGGCCATGGGTTTAATAACCCCTAGTACTACCAAACAAAGCTATCAGAATAGTAAGGGTGGGCATGAGTGAGGAGCAGAATGGGGCATCAGGCCAGATTAGTCCTACAGCCATAATTCACCACCCCTGACTTAGTATTATATTCTCTATTCTCCCCACACAGATATTTCGCATTGCCCATCAAGCTCATGAGTCTCCTGCCTCAGCTTCCCATAGTTAGGACTGCGGGCACATACCACTGTGCCCAACTCTGTTGCCTTTTCAGTGCAGCTGGCACATTCAAGCACTACCCATCCGAATGTCCTACAGATGTCTAACAAGTGCCTAGCACATGCCAGAAATAAGTATTAAATAAAGTATATAATAAAGTTCTGCCTTCTTTACAGATGTACAAGGTAGTAAGTATATTATAACTCACATAGTATTATTGATTCTTCATACCAAATTATAAACGTAAGCTGAAGAAATTAGACAGTGTACTGTTGCTGGTGGTCCATAGCTTTAATCCCAGCACACTCTGTAAATCCAAGGCCAGTGGGAGCTACATAGTGACACCCTGTTTCAAAAAAACCAATAGATACTGGCTGGAGAGATGGCTCAGTGGTCAAGAGCACCAGCTACACATGCCATGACTACCTTATTAATCTCACAATTCCTTGGGTGCTACGCAGAAGTCAGAACTGTAGTGGTGGGGCCAGCAAGCACTGGGTAAATGTGCAGGCTGCCAAGATGGGCGTTTGATTCCCTGGACCTACGTGGTGGAAGGACAAAACTGACTCCTATAAGTTGTCTTCTGACCGCCACATGTGCACCATAGCACACGTGTACACACACGCACACACACTCACCATAGTGTGAATGAATGGGCTGCTTTATATATCCATAAGCAGATGAAATGTTTGCCCTTTGTGATTGACAGGTAAAGCTAGAGTGCTCTTGTCCCAAACAAGGACATCATTCTACACAGCGAAGAGTATGCACTACAAATGTCAGGAAAATAGTGGGTAACATTTGGAAACGGTGTGAAAGTTAGGAATCCGAACCATGGTACACAACACATTGCCAGGTAGTTGGTAATAAGAAAACTGTTACCTGGAGTCGGGCTTGGGTTTAGCTCAGCATTACCAGCTTACCTAGCAAGTATAAGATCCTGGGTTCAAGCCTCAGCACATCGGAAAAGGAGACTCCTACTGAGTGCCCACTAGGAATTCCATGTCTCCTCATGTTCTGTCCTCTGTGTCTCCTTCTGCCATTTCTATGCAGAACATGATTTTCTAGGTGAAAGACATGACGTCTGCTACCATCTGTGTGTTCAGTGTATGGCCTGCTTCAGAGCAGGAATGCGGGCGGAGTTAGAATAAGCGCTTCACTTTTCCACCAAACAGTCCTTACTCCATACCCTAAATTATGACCAGATTGGACAGTTCACCATTTGTGCGTGTGTGTGTGTGTGTGTGTGAGAGAGAGAGAGAGAGAGAGAGAGAGAGAGAGATGTGTGCATACACATTCACACATGTGTGTGTGCCACAGTATCCACACAGAAATCATCTTAGTTTGAGATGTCTTTCCACTCTCTATGCCGGGCTAATGGCCCTAAGCTTCTGAGATTTTCTGTATCCACTCCCATCTCCTCAAAATGTAGACACTTACACTACATGACCAGTTTTTAAGACTTTTTTAAAAAAGATTTATTTGATGTGTATGAGTAGTTTGCCTGCATGTATGTCTGAGCACCTCAGGTGTACGGTGCCCAAGGAAGCCGGAAGAGGGTGTTGGATTCTCTGGAACTGGAATTACAGCTAGTTGTGAGCCATCATTTGGGTGCTGGGACCCAAACCCAGATCCTCTGTGAGAACAAATGCTCTTAACTGCTGAACCACCTATCCAGGCCCTACAGGTCCAGTTTTTATGTGGGTTTTAGGGATTAGAAGCCAGGTCCTCACACTTGTGCAGCAATCACTTTCACCTACCAAGCTATCCCCAGCCTAGTTAACATCCTTCAAACGTGGTCTACATTTTTCCTACCCCACATCTGCTCTTAGCTTTGATTATCCCATAATGCTGACCCTTATCTAACTCTAAAAAAATCACTATGTTCAAAAGCAGCAAAATAGCATCTTAAGAAGCCTGCTAGAGGCTAGAGAGGGGAGGGGGGCACACCTTTAATCCCAGCACTCAGATCGCTGTGACTTCAGGACCAGCCTGGACTATACAATGAGACCCTGTCTTAAAAAGGGGGGGAACTGGAATCTGGCAGGGCAGCAGGGGTCTTACTGTGATTACACAGCGTGTATCTTACCCATGACTCGGTCTGTGAGGAGGACACTGCAGCCATGGGAAACAACAGGAATGTGAAAGACATCCGATGAAACAGTGGCTGCACCACAGCAAGGGAGGAGACCTCCAGCTCCACTCTCTGCTCCTCCTCCTGAAGGGGTCACCATCCTACCTGCCCCATCTCCCGGGTCCTCCTCACTCTGGTATAATGCAAGCACCCAGGGGGCTCGCCTCCTCCTGGCATAATGCCTGTGGAACCTGTTCCTATGATGAGGCCACACATGGGAAACCACATGCCCTTGAGGCCCAGGCCTCCTAAGACTGAAATGGCGATTCTGCCTCCACAAATTCTCAGAACGAGACTGAGCTAAGACCTGTCTCCTCCTGTCTTATATTCCTCTCTAGTGCTGGGATTAAAGGCGTGCGCTCTACTGCTTGGCTTCATTAGTGAACTAGTGTGGCAACTGGGATTAAAAGTGTGTGCCACCACTGCCTGGTCTGTATGGCTGACCAGTGGGACTGTTTTACTCTCTGATCTTCAGGAAAACTTTATTTATTAAAATACAAATGAAATATCACTACATTTAAACTCAAACATAGCACGAATAATAAAAGCCAGAGACTGATATTGGGGTTCAACCTGAAGATCAGAAAAGCAAAGCAGCCAGCCACTGGCTGGCACCTGAACAGGGATCCAAGGTCAGAGGATTCTGGACACTCTTAAAGACTGGAAGAAAGTTCACTCTCAGAGTAAGGGGACTCCAGGATTGTCAGGGCTGCAGGGAATTTAAAATCCCCATTTCAGGAGCAACAAAATGTACAGCTGCTAAAATGCTTGTCAAAACAAAAAAAAAAGATCAAAAGCTAGGTGCTAACTCACTCCAGAATCAAACTGGCTGTAGCTCTCTAGGGATTCTCCCATCAGTATTTCTAATAACAAATTAAATTGAAACAAAATTTTAATAGTGTGGTTTTAGGCGTTAAGACACCTTGTTTCCTCATCTGTGTGCATATGGAGGCAAGAGGCTCTCTGCTTGTGTGAATAGGTGTGTATGTGCACACACGTGCATATGCACAGGCTCGCACATACACAGACCAGGAACAGTTTGCCACAATTCTCTTTCTACCATGTGGGTTTCATAAACTGAATTTAGATTGTCAGGCTTAACACGTGCTGGCCCCTGCAAGCTCTCTCCCTGGCCCTCTCTGCCTTCTTTGCTAATTCTAGCACGGGGTCTCTCACTCATTGGCTAGGCTGCCCGGCTGATCAGTGAAGCCTGAGCATCTGCCTTTTTTCACCTCACAAGTGCTGGGTTACAAACATGCCTGGCTTTTCCTGGGTGCTAGGATCCCAACTCAGACCTTCCCACTTACACAGCAAGCATTTTACATAATAAGCCATCTCCTTAGTCCAACCACTTAATTTTGTTTAAGACGTATTTAGTTTTAATTTTCTGTGTACGAGTGTTTTGCCTGCATGTGAGTGAGTGCCTGGTGCCCATGAAGACCAGAAGAGGGTGCTGGATCTCCCAGAATTGGAGTGACAGACTGTACCAAACTGCCACATGGGTGCTAGGAACCAAATCAGGTCCTCTACAAGAGCAGCAGGTGCTGTTAACCAGAGCCCCTTCACTCTGTTTGTTAAGGCAGGGTCTCTCAATGACTAGGTTAGAATGGCTAGCCAGGAAGCCCCAGAGATCCTCCTGTCTCTGATTCCCCAGGGTCTGGATTACAGGCCCCTGGCATTTATGTGGGTTCTAGGACAGACTCAGGTCTTCATGCTTGCATGGAAGCCTTTTGCCAACTGAGTCATCTTCTTGGCCCCATGTTCTAATCTTCCAAACAGGTGGGTGCCCACTATGAGTTTAAAAAAAAAATACTTTTAGTTTTTCTTTTCTTTACACTTTGACACTAGGAGCATCCCTAAGACTAAATCTGGGTCCAAGTCAGACTAAATATGGTCATTCGCCACATGTGACCACTTTCACCACTTGAAACGTGGCTAGTTGCAGCTAAAAATGTTTTAAATGTGAAATACACATATTTTAAACACTTAGTGAAAACAATACACTGTATAGTGTTGTGTAAATGATAATACTGTAAATATATTAGTCAGATAATTAAAACATCTTACTAAAAAAAAAATCCCAGGGACCAGCTGGCCATATAGCTCAATCAGAACCTAGTTCTGATCTCCAGCACCCACAAAAAGACTGGGCATGGCCCCCTACTTCTGTAACCCAAGCACTGGCAGGACAAAGTAAAGCAAGCAGATCTCTGGAGTTCCAGGTCCAGTGAGTGCCCGTGTCTGGAAAGATAGGTGGAGCGTGATAGTGCAGGGCACCAGTACTGACCCCTAGCCTTCACACACACACACACACACACACACACACACACACACACACGAAAGCACATCACAGCAGGCTGTGGTGGCAGATGCTTGAAATTCTAGTGCTTGGAAAGTGGAAGCAGGAGAATCAGGAACTCAAGGTCATCTCAGCCAAACAGTGTGCTCAAGGCCAGGGTGGGCTACAAGAGGTCCCTCGTCAAAAGCAGGGCTCAGCAGTTAGTACTCTAGCACCTAATGCTCTTGCAGAGGACCTGGGTTCCCAGCACCCACATGGTGGCCTACAACTATTCCAAGTGATCTGGCACCCTCTTCTGGCCTCCACAAGCATGTATGCAGTGCAGGCACCACACTCATACACATAAAACAAAAATCTTTTGTAAATTAATTTCATTTGTTATGTTTCCCTCTGATAGTTTTGAGACAGTCTGATGTATAATAACTTCGTTCATTTGGTAAATACACTCTTCACACATAGATTCTTTAATGGTGTTTACTCCAGCTAATTTAACCTTATCTCACTAACCACCTCATTACCACAACGCAGGAAAGCTGGCAAGAGCTCCCTCACTCTCTCTTCAAACAAGGGTCTCACTACGTAGCCATGGCTGGCTTGGCTGGCCCGGAACTCGCTCTGTAGACCAGGTTGGTCTCGAACTCACACAGCTTTCTGCCAGCCTCTGCCTCCCCAGTGCAGTGATTAAGGGCGTGCACTACCACGCTCTGCTGCAACCCATCAATCTTACAAAAGTCCGGGACGAAGAAAACTCGAAACTTATCTACACTACAGGCACAGAGAAGTCTTAAAAAGCCAAGAGTTTGCGGGTATGTGTCCGTCCCTAAAGCAAAGGAGCCGCACCGGGCAGCGCCCGAGGCTGGGAGCGGGTCTGAGGCTGCGAGGGGGGCAGCGCCGCCCGGTCTAACCGCAGTACCTTTAGAATGCCCCTCATCTTCGCCAGGAAGGGGCGGAACTCCTCCGGCGGCACTTCCGGATAGAGTTGACTGTGCAGCAGCTCCTCGGTGATACTCGAGTTTCCGTGGAACGCGTTCTGCGCCAGCCCGCTCAGCAGCCCGCTCAGGGGCTTGCAGCCCTCCAGCTCACCAGCCATGGCCAAAGCGGCTGCCGCTCGGCGGCTGAGCTCGGCTCGGCTACGGGGGCCGAGATGGGCCGTAACACCTAGTAAAGGCACCGTCTGGCCGCGAAGCCGGGCTCCTCCACTAGTCGGAATAGCAGTTCTCGCTTTTGTTCTGACACACACACCCACTGTTTCGATCACGGTCCAATCCGTTGAGTTTCCCTTTGGGTCGCTGTGCTTTCGCTGTTTCCTTTTTCACTCCGAAAGGCACTCAAAGGGCTTGGTGAGATTACTCCTATGAGCTGTAACTCAAGAAGAGCGTCACTCTTTGGTGGCTGTATCTCGTTCCAGAGTTTGCCGTGGAGTCTTCAGAAACCCCACACAAAGGGTTGGGTTTTTTTTTTTTTGTATGTTTGTTTGTTTGTTTTTGAAACAGAAACTTACTATATCTGCCTATCCCTACCTCCTGAGTTCTGGGATAAAGTTCTGGCTCAATCATTTTTTATATCGACTTTTCAGAACTAATTTAAGAAATCATATTGTCACTGTTTGTGTACCGTTAAGTCCCTAATGAAGGGTACATTATCCATGATTTTCTAAAAGGCAACTTGAGAAATGTTTTTGTGCATTCAAGAAAAACAACCCTGAGGCAAACTATACTTGTGTGTTAAATGTTCCTATAGAGATTGCAAAAAGGCCAGGTGTGGTGGGCACACCTTTACTCCCAACACCCAGGAGGCAGAGGCAGTGCCAGCCTCTTCTACATAGTGAGTTTCTCGAAGCCAGGGCTATATAGAGACATCCTAGCTCAAAGAAAGCAAACAAACAAAAGAGGTTGCAAGGAATGGATAGAAGAGAAAAGGGGGCAGAAAGGTAGCAAGTGGGACAAAACAGCACTCTAGCACATAACTTCTAAATCTTCTACCTGAAAGGCCGTGGCCAAATTATTCTCTGTGGTGTTTGTCATCTGACACATAGAAAAAATTATCTTGCAGTTTTTCGTTTCTCAAATTTTTATTATGTTTACTTCGTGTGTGTGTGTGTGTGTCCCCACATGCCACAGCATGCGTGTGGAGGTTAAAAACCAAATTACAAGAATGGGTTCTCTTCTACCATGTGAATCCCAGAGACTGAACTCCGGTGGTCAGGCTTGGCCGCAAGTGCCTTTACCCACTGAGCCATCTCTCTGGCTCCATCTTTTTTCTCTTCACTAAAGATTTGTTTATTCATTTTATGTGTATGCGCCCTAGTGTGTGTGTGTGTGTGTGTGTGTGTGTGTGTGCTCCACCTTCAGGAAGGTGCCCGAGAAAGTCAGAAGAGGCTGTGACCCACCGGATGTGGCTGCTGGGAACTGAACCTACATGCTCTGGAAGGGCAGTGAGTGCTCTTAACCTCTGAGCCACCTCTCGAGCCTGGCCACATTTCTTAGGTTTTGAGAGTGAATACTACCTGGGTATATTTTGGCTGCCTGTATTCCTACTTATTTCCCCGTTTTCTATAAAGTTTCTGTCATTTCAGTGATTGCCAAGAGCTGGGTTTTTATTCAGCATTTATTTACTGTGTGTATGTATATATGTGTATGAGTAGCTGCCATCGTCTGTGTGAAGAGATCAAAGGAAAGAAAAAAGGAAGTTCGTTCTTCTGCCACCAGGGGCTGCTATTGTCACAGCTGCAGCTGCAAGATGGCACCAGCTGCATTTTAGAATGCTTTTCAAACAAAAGGCTCAAACTACAGCCGTCTTTTATCAAATTTCAAATCACAGGTATTTCAGATGGCAAACCTTGGCACAAGGCTATCAAGAGAATTTTCAAGTGCAACAACTAAGACAAGACCCAGAAGCTCAACTCCAGGGAAACTTCAAACCCTGTGAACAACCCTTCTAGGCATGGTTCCCTTCCATCATGGTCAAATACGCTATTCTAAGTCCAAGCAAGCAAATGGTTCCAGGAAAACAAGTAATAATTTTATAAACATTAAAAATGGAAACTGGGTGGGCGGTAGTGGTGTATGCCTTTAATCCCAGCACTTGGGAGGCAGAGGCAGGCAGATCGCTGTGAGTTCAAGGCCAGTCTGGTCTAGAGTGAGTTTCAGGACAGCCAGGACTTGTTGCACAGAGAAACCCTGTCTCAAAAAAGACAAAAACAATACAAAATGTAAACTGGGAACCGGAGAGACGGGTCAGCAGTTTAGAGCACTCATTGCTCTTACAAGGGGCCCAGGTTTGATTCCCAGCACCCACATAGATGGATTCCAGCCACCTTACTGTAACCCAGCCCCACAGGTTCCAACACCCTCTTCTGACCTCCACAGGCACTGAACATATGTGTTGTACATACATGCATGCTGGCAAAACACTCACATATGTAAAAATAAATAAATAAATCCTTTTAAAGTGTAAACTAGAAGGTTAAAGAGATGGCTCAGTGGTTTAGAGCATTTGTTGTTCTTGCAAGAGGACCCAGGTTCAATTCCCAGCACCCTCATGGTGGTTCACAACCATCTGTAACTCCAGTCCCAGGGGAATCCAGTGCCCTCTTCTGACCTCCATGGGCACTGAGCATGCACGCGGTGCACACAGATACACACACGCGGGAGAAACACATATAAAATAAAGTGAATGTTTAAAAATATGAACTGATTGGGGCTGGTGAGGTGCCTCAGCAGATAAAGGTGTTTGCCAACAAACAATATGACCTGAGTGGGAAAGAACTGACTCCATAGAGTTGCTTTCTGACTTCCACACACATGCAGGACATGCAAGCCTCCCCTCCTCGTCACACACATATGCACACAAAAATAATACCTGTAATGTGAACTGACAGAATGCAGATGCAAGGACCCTGTGGTTTTGCAATAAAATCTCCCTGCCTGGTCTCATCTCTGCCTTTTCCAACTCTGCCTTTATCACCGCTTATTCTTCTCTCAGCAGTTTGTGCTAGCCATTCTACTAAGCTGCAGAGGATACAGAGATAAATGGTCTTGTCTTTAAAGCATATATTTTTGTAAGAAAAAAATTACATGCAAAGAAATTAATTCGAGTACAATGCCTTAGGTTCTTTACTAATTAGTGCCTAGAAGTAGAGACTAATGAGCTCAGCTTGCGCAGGTTATGGACACAGTGAAATGCTGTCTCCACATGGAGGTGTGAAACAGTAACATTGAGGCTATTGTAAGTAGCATTGCAAGAGTGGTGATCTAGGGTAATCATCTGAAAGATGGATGAGGACTAGGTAATATATACATTCAGAAATCTATGTAATGCCAGTTTTTATACTTGTCCAATAAGAAGGAACAAAATCCTCTGGTCATCTTGGGTTCTTGGATAGAACTTTTTTTTTTTTAAGACAGGGTTTCTCTGGGTATCCCTGGCTGTCCTGGAACTCACTCTGTAGACCAAGTAAGCCTCAGAGATTCACCTGCCTCTGCCTCCCAAGTGGGTCACCAGGCGGGCTTTGGAAACAACTTTGTAACAAAGACAGATAAATGAAGAAAAACATAAAATTAAGATTTATGCGACATAGATGACTTCAGGAGAAAATGAAGAACAAAAAAATAGTTTGAGCCAGACAATCATATGCTAACTAGACAAATTGTAAATTTCAGAAAAGCAACGCATGACAAAAGGGTTTGAGCTAAGGCCTTTTAAGAAGATAAGGATCACTTTAACAAGGTTTGTTTGTTCAGACTTCACTCAGCTTCCTGGGTTCCTGATCTCTGCATCTCTTCCTGAAGGCATAGTGAAGGTCCCTTTCCTACAACACTTCTGGCTCCTGCTTTCAGGGTCTGGAGACATCAGAGGGCCTGTGTTGGTTACTTTTCTGTCGCTGTGCTAAAACACCATGACCAAGGCAATTTATAGAGCCAAGGGTTTTTGTTTGTTTTTGTTTTTGAGGGGGAAAGGATATGGTTCCAGAGGGCTAAGAGTCCATCACTGGCACTGCAGGGAAGCTTGGCCACAGTTGGGCACAGCGGCAGGAACGAACAGCGGAGAGCTCACATCTCAACCTGAAAACTGGAAGCAGACAGCAAACTGGGAATGGCTGGTAGCTTTCAAAACAAACTCCGCCCCTTGTGACATATTCACTCTAGCAAGGCTACACCCCTTAAGCTTCTCCAGTCAGAGCTACCAGCTGGGGACCAAGCATCCAAATATCTAAAACTATGGGAGACATCTCGTTCAAACCAGCAGCAGTAACTGTTCTCCTCATATTACAGCAGTTGTTTCAACGATCATAGAGTATTTGTGTGCTGCAAGGGGTAAACTGGTCTTTGGAAAAGATGTCTCCACTAGGGGCAGGCTTGAACACTTCATCTCTTAGTCCTAATAGCCTGAATGCATGTTGATGCATCAACCCTGTTGATGGCAGGGGCTAAGTCCATGAAACAATTCTTCCTTAACCTACTGCAGGCATCTGGCACCTTATGGGCTCTTAATAATTAATTGTGAACTAATAGTGAATGAGTATCACCTATATGAACTGCCGTAGTCAATGATAGTGGTTATAGGAACCTGGCAGCTTACCTAAAGATGGAGTTCTGGCTCTGGACTGGCTTTTATTTGGGATTCAGCTTCATCATCCACAAAGACAATGGCACCCATTTTGTGGGACTATGATGAGGATTAGTTAAGGTAAAGGGTGTAAAGACGGCTCACTTTGTTTGTTTTTTTAAGATTTATTTGTTTGTTTGTTTGTTTGTTTATAGTCTCAGTATTCTGTCTGCATGTGTGCCTGCGGGCCAGAAGAAGGCACCAGATCTCATTACAGATGTCTGTGAGCCACCAATGTGGTTGTCGGGAATTGAACTCAGGACCTTTAGGAAGAGCAGGCAGTGCTCTTAACCACTGAGCTCTCTCTCCAGCCCAGACGTCTCACTTTGTTTAGCAACTAACTGCTAATCGGTTATGAGATGTTTATATTCCGTATGTTTACGGGTTTGGCAGGCAGTCTCCACAACTATTAAGATTCGGTGCCATTTATTTTGAAAGACCCTCAGAGTGGTCCTTCCCTCAGGAGGAGACCCCTAACCCAAGGAACAGTCAACACCACTGGCTGCAATTAGCAAGAGGTTTATTGGGTGGGCACAGGTACCTGTGGGCAGCAAAGTCCTTTTGGAGGACTTGCCCGCCTGCAGGCTGGGAGAAGGTC